ACAGACTGGACACGAGATCAATTGGAAGGCAACAGAAAGAAGAGCTCCATATGGGGACAACACAAGGAAGTGCTAGATTAGGGAGGCCATTGACATCCTTATGGAGAAAAATTTAATTAACAAGAGATTGGAGGAAGGTAGAGTTAGCGATAACCTTGCCTACTGCCTGAGCAAACTTGGCGAAAACAAGAATGGAGCAAGACCAGCAAAAAGGAGATGCCTGGATCAAGGATCTACCGCTAGCAGGAGGAAAAGAGATCGTGAGGAAGAAAGTGGAGGGAAGGGGTCTTCGGCAATAAAGCGAAGACGTTGTCAGTAATTGATGCCCATTTCGAATAAACTAGTCAGGGGAGTTGGGCAGACGGAAATTCAGCGTTATGCTCAAAATGCACTAGAAATCCACTTGAGATGCCGCATGCAACCAGAGCTAGGCGTCCACAGTTTGTTCAGATAACATAGGTTTACTCAAGGAGAAAGCACGTGAAGGAAAGGCCTTTTATCTGCAAGCATAGCAATCAGGGTTTAGGCGATCTGGTCAGTGAAGCGGCAGTGTACGTGCTTCTAGGGCCTTAAGAAATTGCGCCTGTAGTCAAATGCACACAGGGTCTGGAACCGAGTGAAATCGATCAACCAGAAAGATAAAGAACGGATCCACGAGACAATGAAGGGATCCGGATTGGACGCCCGAGTCGGATAAGCCGATAGAAAGAGAGGGGTCAAGGTAAATAGCAAGTGTGATGGGGCCACACTAGATTTGCTACACAAGGGAACACATTTTTGACGAGTTTAATGTAAACAAGTGAGGAGTTGTAATAGGGAAGCAGTGAGATGAGAGGGTAAAAAGTGGATAGATAGGCCAGGACAGAAAGAGGATTGATAATGTAACCGTTTTCGACAGAACGCTTGTCGAGGGATTGACTTCACTTGTCTCTTTGACTAGTTCGAAGCTTGGTGAGGCGAATGGCAAAACTCACTGATGATGCCAACTATGATGCCAGCAAAACGTTTGAGAATGTACCAAATCCACTGTCTGGTGCCGTGAATCATGACAACTGCTATGGTAGACGACTTCGGATTAGGTGCGTTCTACTAAGTCGCCCTGACAGCAAGACCAAGTTGTGACAACGAGATCAACCTACTTCTAGTCCCGGGCCCTTGCATAATTTTACTCAATAAAGCACACTAAATTCACGTAATTTTCGAGCTTGCTAAAGGCCACGATAGGAAAAGAGTTATAATGGAATCTGTACAGATTCGCTTAAAGGTCTAACTATGAAGAATGAAAATCAGAGAAAAATACTTGTAACTTCTATCTGAGCATCCCAAAACAAACCGGAATTATATAGAGAGATTATTGATATTCTAAGTGGAAGAATAAATATTGAAATAAAGTGACACTAGCAAAATGGATCATTGAAATTTTAAAAACTTGTCATAGACAGACGTACACATTGATTCGCGTTTGAATTTCTAAGGCAATAGAAGAGAAAGGTGAATTATAAAGGCAGTCAGAAATGATAAAATTCGCTGCATAAGCATAACGTAATAATATGCCCTAACAAACAAAAAATGGGGAGGTGTGGATCATCGGCTTAAAATAATACAATAAGAGAGTAGAATACAATTCAGTAACTTATTAACAGAATGCTGTGTGTTGTACCTTGAACGGTGTCCAGGTAGACTTCAATATGCTAGAAAACATCCAGCATACAAGCAATATAATGCAAAATACATTAAAAAGCCCAATATAAAATTATTTTAGCCTTGTTTCTAAAATAAATCTGCTTTAGCCACATACGGAATAGTTAATTATAATACTTCTAGTCCATGCGCATATTATATTAACAAAATAGGAATCATTGTACAAAAGCACTTAATTATATTTATATCTGCAAAGTTATCCATACACATAGTTGTTTTTGACTACATCATACAAATATGGTGCATTTTACTATGTAGAAATTAAATGTGCGTTATAGCGTGGGCAAATCGGTTTACTTACTTTTCTCTATAATCTGCGCGCTTCTCAGGTGCTTACTCAAAAAATTTTAAACGCACCCAATGGGGAGCCACTCGATGCATAATAATCTAAAAATTGCTGCTGGCGAGGATGTGGGGGACTTGAATCTTGTAAATCTTAAAAGTGGGAATCAAAATAGTCAAGCAACTGGAATGGATATGGCGGTAATTTATGTAGTAATTATTGTATCAAGATGCACTTTACAGTTGAGCTGCCTTTCACTGTTTTGTTTAAACCATGGCTAGTCGATACTAACGAAAGTAAGATTTTACTTAATGCTACTATTTCAGAACTGGTTGGGGCCTTCTTCGGAGTTCTGATTCTGGCTTTTCTTTACGAGGGACTCAAAGTAAGAGTTTTACAGCTCAAACCACTTCATCCTGAAAAAGAATTTTGTTTTTAAGACTCAAATTGTATAATAATTGTTATGTATAATGGTTTTATGAAATTGTACCCTCGCTTTAAGGCGCATAATGCTATTGCCTTGATTTATGGCGGCTCACAACTGAAATGCTCTTAAGTTAAACATGAATTTTTGCATGATTCTTGGTTAAGGCTTTCCGAGCCAGTCTTCTTACAGCGATTGTGATCAAAGCAGCTCCTGAACGCCATCCGTGTCAAATGGGTAGCTCAGTTATATCTCCGGCTGGTGACACACAAGAATTATGTCCTCATTTCGCTTCTGAAAATAATTTTTCGGCGAATGGCACGGAACCCAGGACGGACATAGTCCGAAGCTGCCCTGTTTTACGACTGCTTCGCAGGTAAAGAATCTCTGTTACCCATTCAAACCTTATCATATAAATACTTTTTGATGTTGTTTACTTAGTTTATTTATATTCTATGCGACCAATCCCTTTTGGAATGGCGAAAAATCTTCTATTCCACTATCTTTATAGTCATAATTATCAATTTTGGAGGCTTATTTTTACTAATTGGCGACGCATTACTACAAAATTGTAATTTATCACTATCAATTAATATTTGCTACATTATTTGTCTCTATCACCTCAAGATATCGAAATATGCACAATGAAATCACACTTAGCAACTTGAGGTCAAAATAACAGTTTTCTACTGAACCGACGGTTTTTGAGTGCCAATTTTTACTCGTAGATATGAAGAGCAAGATGTGGCATTCTGTTTAGTCGCAGTCCCCTTTAATTTTATAATGTTGGTTCGACCTCGCTCTTGAAACTCGGTCGGAGCGTCAGCTTTAATTTATACTGCATGACGTTCTTTTATCTACCTTCGTTATTTTTCTTAATCAGCGCATTCTCGAGTATACATATTCTTTTGGAATCAAAA